AAAAATATATATTTTTCCAGATTTTTACATAAAGTTACTATTGAATATTAGTTGAAGAGTTCTCAGCATACTTCATCATTTTCTTTACAAATATTTATAAAAAATAATTCCTGGTGATTTATAATTTTTTTAATGATGAAATATTAAATTACTATAAAAGTTTATATCTGAAAAAAATCAGGATTAGTACCCAACAACCCAAACCCCAAAACCGAAGTATTCATTTTTTGCATAACATGTTATTTTATTTGCTTTATACATCCTTAGAATATATACGTGTGTTATTAAGTTATAATAAATGGTTTAGTAGTGTAATAGCTGATGTTTTGTGCATTAAAAGGAAAAATACACAAGTACCTATAATCTATATACTAACAAAGCACTCTCACAGGTAGTCAGAAATCATGAACAGGAGGAGTAAAAATTCAGAAATGTGGAGCTTTTTGTCCCAAAATTTTGTCCAAAAATCCAACCAAAAACCCACTGAAATATTAGGTTGGTTTTTTATTTTAGATGTTAAAACTTTTTTCATTTCTTCCAGAATTTCCATCATGTCATCTTACCAGCACAAATCCGGCGCACAAAAGAGGCATGAACGGGAGGCTTGGCAAGAAAGGGAGAAGGAAGTGATCAGGGATTGTCGGACGTTATTTGAGGTTGGCTTCCAGCACGATCAGCAGCATACAGATCCAGTACATAAGCGTACCTTAGCAGGGCCAGTTAATACCAGCACCGCTGGAAATTATGATTGTGACAGTAGGCTTTACATAGAAGATCAACATGAGCTGCCAGCTAGACCAGAAAGCCCAGAACCACAGACAGAAGCATTTGCATAAGAAGGCCACAAGAGCCAGCATTCAACAGAAAACAAGCCTAAAAAATATGGGGTTGATATTGGACTTTGCCCATTAGACATCCCAATTAAAGAATATATAGAAGAAATGATTTGGAAAGGGCCTCTGCCACACCCAAAAGATTTCTCTAATGATTTTACCGGACGAAAATTTCCAATGCCTGTTCTCAAAGTCAGAACACCAAATGGCGAAAGCGAGAGCAGACGATGGCTTGTATTCAGTCCTGGAAAACAGTCCTTGTATTGCCTGCCTTGTAGGCTTTTCTCTCATATAGTGGGCTCACTAGTGCAAAGGTCGCAGTCGATCATGGCATCCAAACAAGGCTGGGGTACAGATCAGAAATGGAAAAATCTGTTTGACAGGTTGCTTCATGATGAAAACAGTACAACACACAAGAACTGTTATCTAGCATGGCATGAGTTGGAGAGGAGGTTAGAAAGTGATACTGGAATTGATGTGATGTCTCACAAAGTAATCATGAGCGAGACTGAGAAATGGCGAAATATACTTACGAGGATAATTGATGTAATACTTTTTCTTGGCCAAATAGGACTTGCTTTCCATGGCTTATCCCAGCGAATTGGCGACATTCATAATGAGCACATCTTGGGGATCATTGAATTTCTGTCGAATTACGATCCAGTCCTAGCCGAACATGTTGCAAAGATACGAGCTTTGCAAGAAAATGGTGAATGGCTTCAAGTTCACTATCTCTCAGGATCATCTCAAATTGAATTCATCAGTAACTGCGCAGATTATGTTCGGAGGCACATTTTTGATGAAATAAGAGCCACAGAATATTATTCAATCATGGTTGATGCAACATCGGATTCTAGCCATGTGGAGCAGACAACGTTCATCATTCGTTATTTGGCTAAGGATGATACCGAATTTGTAGTTCAAGAACGATTTTTAACCTTTGTTGATTGTTGTAAGACGGGGCTGAATTAGCGAGCCTGATTCTGAAAACACTCAAGCATTTTGGGATACCTATTAAAGATTGTCGTGGACAGGGTTATGATAACGCTCCCAACATGTAGTGCAAACAATTTATCATTTATTTTCTTCCAGTCCTCAGTGCTGGGCTATTCTCAAGGAGCACATGGGCGAATCCATCCACGCTTTGTCAGGTACTCGTTGTACAGACCGAATGACAAGTGTTGAGACCATTTGCAGCTCATCTTGCTGAAATACAACTCCCGCTAAAGAAACTTTTGTCTCTCAACGTCACGCCAAAAACCAGTAATGAAGTCAATGGTGTAATCAGATATGTGTCATCCTTAATTTGCATCCTTATGTCATCGATTTGGTTGAAGATTCTCGTACAGAAGAAATCAGATCATCCAGGCAAGAGATGCTACAGTGGATGTAGAGGTTTCAAATCTAGAGTCTCTTTTGACCGATCTTGAAGATCTGTGTGGGAAATGGCCACAGATTTTAAATGAAACGAAACTGGTTGTTGAGGAAATCGAAATTGAACCCCATCTCCCATCAAAACGGAAAGATAAAAAAAAGAGCAAGACTTATTGTCATTGAGGAGGATGACGAACAAGGGGAGAACATCCTAGAAAATCCTTGTCATGGCTCTGATGAGCCTGAATCTGAATTCAAACGAAATGTCTTCTTTGTTGTCATTGATTCGGTGATTAACGGAGTGTCAAAGTGGTTTGACGCTGCAAACACAATTGATAGATTGTTCTGTGGCAATATCGAAGCATGACAGAAGAGGAACTCAAACTTGCATGTGCAAGATTAGTGGACAAATACCCAGACGATCTCTCAGAATCCTTGCAAGAGGAAATGGGGCACCTTAAGGCAATACATGCATCAAACTTGGGTGAAGATATGGAGCCATATCAACTTTTAAAAACAATAAAAATGTACAAGCTAGATGGCATTTTCCCAAATGTATGCATTGCACTGCGAACATTCTGCATATTGCCAGTTACAGTAGCATCTTCTGAGAGATCTTTCAGCAAACTAAAACTCATCAAGATCTTCTTGAGGAGCACGATGATACAGGAGAGACTGAATGACCTAGCCATCCTTAACATTGAAAGCAAACTTGTGGGGAGAATTGACTTCAGTGAAATAATAAAAACATTTGCTTTAAAAAAGGCACATAAAGCATGTTTCGTTTAGTTATCACAATTCTGCAATACTGAACTCATTAAAGTAATTCTTGACAATGTGTTTAAACTTTGAATAAATTATCCAATTAAATGAACAGATGTTTACGTTTTTTTTTTCTTTTCTCTAAATGATATTGTTGATTGTTAAAGGCCGTTCTTTGTCCACGGAAAATTTCACAAAGGAAATCGGAACTTTAAGCCGTAACTTAATGGTATTAAAACTTAAAAGATTGCTAAAATTACTAAAAGTCTAGAGCTTCCCTCTTGGTCTCCCATCAGGGGCTCAGCTTCTGGATCCCGCTGGGGGCCCAGGACGACCCTAGCCACGGAGTCCGCCGCCGCTCTCGACAGCCCTGCCAGCATAATTTACAAGCATACGTTAGTGTCTTGTCGAAAGCTGTAAATAGGCCCAAAGTAATAACTGTCCCTCTGTTGGTAATAAATATCACACAAATATAAAGTTCGAATGTACATCAAAGTACTAACCGGCGTGATTCGAATACAAGTTACCAACTTTTTATACACTAACCAGGTCTATTTGAGAGGTCAGAAGAACCCTCAGAATCAATCAAACCACAATAACATAACATTTCTGACATATGTCCTTGTACCATAAAAAACTTAGTGTTTAGGGGTCATTGAGAAATTACAAGTTTCTTAGGAGCAAAGAGAAAAAGAAAATATGCACGGAAAACAAATGGTTAATACTACTGACAACTAATAGGGTTAAAGTGGACTAATTAGAATTTGCAGAGACTGGACGACTTGTTTCATTTGAATTAATTTTTAGAAGGATCAACGTTTATAAAGTAAGAAAATCGCAGCTTTATGAATGTGAAAACTACCACCTCAGGTAATCAAACAGAATATACAGAACAACGTGATACGAAATGTAGCTAAAAACATTTAACCTAATTTCAATGACTTGATATCAAATTTAATAGAAATTGGGTCGCAAGTTTTTTTCCATCTTATGGTAATTGTCTTTATCAACATTTGCGTATTTAGGTAGGGGCCCACCAGAAGTGATTCATTTCCATTCAATCCAAATTACATGGGATGTAGGGCCCACAAAAATTATTAGCCCCTGGACCCACACAACCTTAAATCCGCCACTGTTTATTAATGTCACCTGTCTTTTTAGAGTTTGTTTGTTTTATGAATTTCACCCAAAGCTATACAAGGGCTTACGCGTATATTTGTTAATAACCTGCATCCATAGTTGTTTTAGTTCTTTCTGTAAAATGTGTTTTGAGGATAACTAATCGAAAGATACCTGTAGTTATAAACACTTAGTGATTAAAATATATCCAAATTACAGACTTCTTAAGTTAACTCAGACGTTTGACCTTTTGAAATAAAAATTAAATACTAAAATTCAGTTCAATCAATAGAAATAACATCTAACAGTTAAATGCAAGGTGATTAATAATCATTAGCATAAACTAAATATATCTTAAGTTATTATTCCACAAATCGTATGTAACATTCGAATCCCTGACCTTAACAGAAGTTGAGAAGCAACAATAAATAGACCAACAACATGAGCGCAATCTATGTAAACATTTGGTTTCTTCGAGATGGTTGATTCTATGCGAGATTTTGGTCTCATTAGGATCATTATCGAATGTGAACATAACTAATACCAAAATACAAAGTGGTTAATCAAGCTAAAGGCCGAAAGAAATATTGTTTATTCAAAGCATTATGGGAAAATTAATAAGATGCACCTTAGCAACTTCGTTCGTCTTTTTGGGGCCATAGACCGTTACGCAAGAAAAGCTTGGTACTGCTGGAGAATGGGAGCATTGGGAAATCTTTAAGTTTTCCAATCACTTCAGTGAATTCACGTGAGTATAGTCCACACACACTGGTTATGATTTTACAATTAATTGTTTGTGAATATTCTAAAATGTTAGATAGAGAAAAAAATTAAGACAGTTATTTTCTCTTTTTATAGTTTAATATGTTATCTGCACTCATCCACCATGGAGAAATAGAATTCTGGATTTTAGCTTTGCAAATCTATAAACTAAACGATGACCCACTGGCGAATTGGATTCTTATAAACACAGCAATTTTCTAACGAAATGAAACTAGTACCTACTGGTTGAACAACCTAGCTCAAAACGAACTATTAAATCGATACTAGTACTTATTGGTAGAACTACCAATGTCATGGTAAGTAGAATCGAAACTAGCAAGTACTGATAGAACATCTATACAGATGGCGAACTTTTATAAAAATTGAAACTAACATTAATGGTAAAAACCTTCAAACAAATGGTTAGATGTTAAAAGAATCGAAACTAATACTTACTAGTAGAATATACAAGTACGTGGAGAACTGTGAAAATAATCGAAATTAGTACTGTTACGTCTCTGGTCGTTTGTTAATTTCCGGTATAAATTCTTCCTGAGGAACTTCAGCGATACAAGTCCCTTCTTAAATAAAACTAGTTTATTCTTTCTCAATACAACTTTGCAATACACAGAATTTCCACAGTCACTTTAGCTTCAACACATGCTATAATTCACAACGATTCACGCACTTTACTTACGGTAACTACCGCTCACTTGACTCAATTATATGTCTCTATAACTGTCTATCTGCAATTATATATCTGCTTTATTTGCCTGGCTTATATATTAAAATAGAGGGCGCCTAGAAAAGACTATATTTGGCAAAAACAATTATGATCCTTCAAGAATCTCATAACACTGTCATAACGCTGCCACTTCCTTAGTATTGTTTGTCCCGAACAATATCCACTTACATTAAACAAAC